CATATTTGCCAATGATACCTCAGACAAGGGTTTAATCTCCAAAATATACAAAGAACTTACACAACTCCACTCTAAGACAAGCAACCCAATTAAAAAGTGGGCGAAGAACTTGAACAGACATTTCTCCAAGGAGGACATACAGAGGATCCAGAGACACATGGAAAGATGCTCAGTATTGCTAGCTATCAGAGAGATGCAAATTAAAACCACAATGAGATACCACTTTACACTGGTCAGAGTGGCCATCGTAAACAGAGCAAGAAACAACAAGTGTTGGAGAACTTGTGGAGAAAAGGGGACCTTAGTGCACTGTTCATGGGATTGAAGACTGGTACAACCACTATGGAAAACAGTATGGAATTTCCTCAGAAAACTAAAAATGGACCTGCCTTTTGACCCAGCAATTCCACTGCTAGAATTATATCTATCCTAAGAACCCTGAAACACCAATGCAAAAGAACCTATGTACCCCAATGTTCACAGCAGCACAATTTACACTAGCCAAGAGTTGGAAGCAACCTAGGTGCCCATCAGTAAATGAATGGATCAAAAAACTATTGTACATTTACGACAATGGAATTCTATGCAGCAGAGAGAAAGAAGGAGCTCCTACCCTTTGCAACAGCATGGATGGAACTGGAAAGCATTATGCTCAGTGAAATAAGCCAGGTAGTGAAAGACAAATACCATATGATCTCACCTTTAACAGGAAGCTAAACAACAAAACAAACAAGCAAGCAAAATATAACCAAAGACACTGAAATAGAGAACAGGGGGACAGTGACCAGAGGGGAGGGAATTTTAGGGGGAACGGGGAAGGATTCATAGGAACAAGTATACAGGATACATGGACAAAAACTAAGGGAGGGTGGAAATGGGAGGGAGGTGGAGAGCACTGGGGAGATGGGCTGGGATGAGAGTGAAAGTCACAAAACTGTTCTTGAACAACAATTAAATAAACAAATTAAAAAAAAAAAAACAGTGGTGCTATGTTTAGACTTTTCTTGTCCTAAAATTCCACTTTATTGGAGACCCATTTTCCATCTGGTCTTTCAAGACAAGGGTTTTTTTCCCTATGTGAAACAGTTTCTAAATAAAACTCTGTATTCTAAAAAAATGGGAGGGAAGTGACTATCCTTGGTACATATTCCTAAATTCTAAACATTTAAAAAACTCATTTCCTATGCTGCAAATTATATGGGGCTTTTTCTGATCATCCACCATCAAACCATTACTAAAATAAGAAACCCTACAGTCTTTTTCTTTCCTCAAGGGAATACCATTATGATGTCAACCTGTCTATAAAGATCAAGAAGAACCAACAAAATATGACTGGCAGTTCTAAAATGTTCTCAATATGCTTATAAATCCTGAGCATTTTATTTTTAACATCTTCAATTCAAAGAATACCAAAGGAGATGTACAAACATTTGAATGTGGATATCTGCAGTTAACAGCCTTAACTATAGCTACAAAATTTTGAAAACTACACTATAGTATTTTGGTGGCAATTAAGAGTTATTTAAGACATTGACATTTTTGAAATTCATTTGAAATTTTACAGTAAGTTTAGCAAAAAATTGACTTATGATATGGCTTTGGAAAATACTGTTTTACAATCTTAACATTACTAAGAAAAACTCAGAATTTAAGCTAAACCCGTTATTTAAAATTCAATTAAAACAAATTTCTCTTGATCAAACTACTGATTATTTAAAACAGATTTAATATTCATCCAATTTAATGAGAATATATTATTCCATTTAATCAACATGTTGACACTGACACTTATTAATTCTCTACACTAGTTAAGAAAAAGACTGACACTGCTCACTGTTTTGAGCAACACCCCTCAAAAATTTCAGATATTAAATATACAAAATAGCTTTAAACTTGCAATGAGAAATGACAAATTTAAACCACTCTCAACTATGTATTGTAACACCACTGAAGGTACTACTACAATGTGAGTGTAACAGCTCTACACAACTGGATTTAGGTCACAGATCCCCATAGTGAAAAGAATTATGTTGCACTTCAGGCCAAGATGGAGGCACAGGTAGACACACTGTGCCTCCTCACACAATCAAAAGATGTACAACAACAATTTAAAAACAAACACCCCCAGAACTGACAGAAAATCAAACTGTATGGAAGTCTAACAACCAAGGATGTAAAGAAGAAATATTCATCCATATCAGTAGGAGGGGCGGAGACAGGCAGCCGGGCAGAGAGGACTCATGGCAAGGCAAAGGCTGGAGGACCAGGGCTGGTAAGGCAGGGGCTGACATACCCAGCGAGGTGGCAGCTGGTGGAGCTGGCGGTCCCACATTCATGTGCAGATAAACCAAGAGGAACAACTGGGGAGTGAGACAGACAGTGCAACCCAGGGCTCCAGCGCAGGAAAATAAAGCGTCAAACCTCTGATTAGAACACATGTAGGGGTTGAGCCAGCAGTGGAAGAGACTCCCAGCCTCACAGGAGAGTTCGTTGGAGAGACCCACAGGGTCCTAGACTGTATGCAAGCCCACCCACAAGGAATCAGCACCAGAAGGGCCAATTTGCTTGTGGGTAGCAGGGGAAGTGACTGAACGCTGGCAGAGAGCACAGCAAGTGCCATTGTTCCCTCTCAGACCCCTCCCACACATACAGCATCACAACACAGCGATGTCAGCTACCCTGCCCTGGTGAACACCTAAGGCTCCACCCCTTGTAAGTAATAGGCACACCGAGACAAAAAAAAAATGTCCCAAAGAAAAAAAAAATCAAAGCTCCTGAAAAAATACAACTAAGCGACGAAGACATAGCCAACCTATCAGATGGACAGTTCAAAACACTGCTAATCAGGATGCTCACAGAATTGGTTAAATATGGTACCAAATTAAATGAAAAAAATGAAGGTTATGCTAAGTGAAATAAAAAAAAAATGTACAAGGAACCAACAGTGAAGGGAAGGAAACCAGGACTAAAATCAGCAGTGTAAACCAGAAGAAAGAAAGAAACATTCAACCAGAAAAGAATGAAAAAGCAAGAATTCAAAAAAATGAGGAGAGGCTTAGGAACCTCCAGGACATCATTTAAACGTTCCAACATCTGAATCATAGGGGTACCAGAAGAAGAGGACGAGCAAGAAATTAAAAACTTATTTGAACAAATAATGAAGGAACTCTTTCCCAATCTGGCAAAGGAAATAGACTTCCAGAAAGTCCAAGAAGCTCAGAGAGTCCCAAAGAAGTTGGACCCAAGGAGGAACACACCAAAGCACATCATCATAATTACATTAGCCAAGATTCAAATAAAGGAGAAAATTCTAGCAGCAGCAAGAGATAAGGGGATAGTCACCTACAAAGGAGTTCCCATCAGACTGTCAGCAGATTTCTCAAGAGACCTTACAGGCAAGAAGGGCTGGAAAGAAGTATTCCAAGTCATGAAAGGCAAGGACCTACATCCAAGATTGCTTTACCCAGCAAAGCTTTCATTTAGAATGGAAGGCCAGATAAAGTGCTTCCCAGATAAGGTCAAGTTCAAGGAGTACATCATCTCCAAGCCCTTATTATATGAAATGTTAAAGGGACTGATCTAAGAAAAAGAAGATAAAAATTATGAACAGTAAAATGACAACTCACAGTTATTAACAACCACACCTAAAACAAAAACAAACTAAGCAAACAATAGAACAGGAAAAGAATCACAGAAATGGAGATCACATGGAGGGTTTTCAGTGGGGGGTGTGGAGAGAGGGGGAGAAGGTACAGAGAATAAGTAGCATAAATGGTAGGCAGAAAATAAATAGGGGGAGGTTAAGAATAGTATAGGAAATGTAGAAGCCAAAGAACTTATATGTATGACTCATGGACATGAACTAAAGGGAGGGAATGTGGGGGGGGGGGTGTGCAGGGCAGAGGGGAATAAAGGGGAAAAAGTGGGACCACTGTAATAGCATAATCAATAAAATATATCTAAAAAAAGAACTATGTTACACCCCCTTTTAAGAGGTTAGGGAATATATGTAGAGGTCTGGATGTGGACATCAGCAGTTTTAAATAGCAGAAGAAAAATTATCAGGTTAGTGGAAAGCTACAAATAAATACAATAAACTAGGTTTCCCTACATCGAGAAATAAGAAAAACCTGTTGATGACTGGGAACAAAGCCGCCCTGAGAGCAAATATTTAAAAAGTAGTTTCTTAACCTGATTCCTCTATATTGTTTCTTAGTGCTCTTAGTAAGCTACACTGTGAGACTGGTGAGACTGGAGAGGCAGCAGTGCTGTGCTCAGGGAGAAACAGGGGAGAAACCTGCGCATACACTGTCACTGGCTCACAGAAAATGACTTTAGAAGGAACAGATTCATCTTCCCTTTTATTTTATATCTTATTTGTGTCATATACTAACAAAGTCAGGGAGATAAAAGCCAGGCTTCATCTCTAATATATAAAGTGAGAGTGAATAGGAAAGGTATGCTGCACATGCAAAGCACATTTCTAGCACGATGGTGGTTTATAATCCTATAGGCAACTACTTTTAGAAACCAAGATCATTCTTTCACATGCTAAAGCTTGCATTTCAACTCTTATTTGAAGGAAAATTCTCCAAAATTACTTTAGTGCTTCAAAAGAAAAAAAAAACCAAACATCTAGCAAACACTGCATAAGCCAACCTTTTCCTTCTCCTAACCCTGTCTCAGGGCAACCCCTTACACAGCTCATGCACCAGGCCTTTGCATTCCCTGTTGCCCAAGCCCTTCCCACAAGGCTTTTCTTGTAGACTGGCCCCCAAATCTGAGTGAAGATACAAAAATAGAAGCATTTGGGGTCATCTCCATCAAGAAGTAAGCAGCTTTGATGGATTCTAAAAGATTAATGCTGCAGAAGTCCAACCTTTAAATAAATGAGGGTGTAATATATTAAGCTGGATCTAGAAGTCTTACTTATTAATAAACCTGCTGCCTAAGATAAATCAAGAAGTACAATTTGTTTATAATATTCTCTGCAGACTGACCTTAACCGCTGCTTATAATAATCTTCATCTCCATCGTCTCGGCATCTCACCACTTTCCAACCTCCTCCTCCTTTGGTAACTTCAGATTCTTCCCCAAAACATGGAAAAAAGTCCTCACCAGTCTCCGGCACTGTGACTCTTTTCTGCCATTTCCGCCGCTTGAACACAGACCCCAGTTCAGAATCAGTGCCTTCGGCAGACAGGTCAACAACCCCTGCCGCCTCCTCCCACTCTTCCTCCTCAGTGGGTAAGTACTCCGACTCTTCACCCTCAGAGTCTCCCTCTTCTTTTGGCCTCACATCAGACTCCAAGTGTCTCTTTCCCTTCAGCAATCCCACTTTCCCCTGGAACTGAAGAGCCCTCTTTTGGAGTTTCCTTATATGTTTTTTTAAGCGTTTGTCTGTTTTTGAGAGAATGTTGCTGCTCTTGTTTGGTTTGTTTTCACTGACTGTTGGACTCAGCTCAGAAGTGACCATGGCTGGAGTTTTTCTAGCTGCCCTTTTATTACAAGCTTGCTTCTTCCTCTCAAAAGACAGTTTTGCTTGATCTGCCAAATACTTTTCAAAACCTGATGCTTCATTAAGCATTAGTTTCCTAGGCTTTTTCTCCTGTTTCTGAGGAATCTGGGTACCAAAAGGTGTCATCTGGCCGGTGCGGATGAGTTCTTCCCAAGCAATCTCCTGAGCAGGCATGAACATGCTGCCAAGACAGGATGGCCCTGCTTCTGAAAGAGGGATAACAATACACTGGGCACTAACATAACACTTCCCAGGAGTACAAGGAATATATTCACTTATTCAATAAATAGTAAGTACCTACAAATAACTCGTTTTAAAAACTATAGCATTAATGTACTAAAACATATTATTTATGAAGAATAAAATTTATTACAGCATTCATCATGCCACCTTCAATATACTCTTATTCAGAAAGGTGATTTCTCAGTAACTTTTTCTAGAATATTGCATTATAAATATACTCTTGTGCATCCAAAGACAGTACTCATTTGTACCATAAAATAGATAAGATACATTTAGCTATGTTTCCTTATCAGTTAAAGAGTAACCCAGCAGGAAGCAATCTCCCAAACTGCCATGTTGTTGCTAAACCAGCATTCAGGTGGACTTAAATTCAGGACACTGTAAAACTGAAAACAGACATCTAAAGAAACATCATGCACCTAAATAGGTGAAACATTAATGTTAGATCTGCACTGCCCAATATAATAGTCATTGTGAGGCTATTTAAATTGAAGTTCAAAATTCAGTTCCTCACTTTCACCATATTTCAAGTGATCAATAGCCACATATGGCTGGACAACACAGATTTCTTTTCCATCATTACAAAAAAGTCTACTGGACAGCACTGGGCTATATATATGAAGTTAACTGACTGCAGGAATGGGCTAAAATTGGAAGCTACGCATTACAAGTATAAAGTAACCTACAAATCATCCTTCTCCATTAGTTGAAATTAATAATCTCTGGCAAGATCACTTTACCCATCACCAAAATACCAAAAGTTAAGGATTAACAGTAGAAATCCATATTCTAAACTCTAAATTTTTTGTAGACCAATTATACCATGGCCAGTTTCTCATTAAACTTGCACTAAAAAGAAAAAAATCTTAAAGTACACAAATTCTAAATGTACAGCTCAATGAATTTTCAGAGAAAAACACATACACCAGCATCCAGATCAAGAAACGGACATTACTAACACCCTAAAATGTGCCCTTCTTGGTGCCTCCAAGCCTCTACCCCACATCAAGATAATGAATGACCCACCAATAGTAAAGACAAGTTACACCTGACTTTGAACTTCATGTAAATGTCTTACGTATGGCTTCTTTTACTAAACATTACATGTGTAAGATTCACACTTGTTGAATATAGGTGCAGTTTGTTGATTCTCATTGCTGTTAGAATTCAATTGTATAACCATACTGCAATCTTTCCATTCCACAATTAATGGACAGATGGGTAGTTTCCAGGTTTTGGCTACTAGGAATAATATTACCATGAATACTGTGCTATTCATCTTTTGGTAATATGCTTACAATTCTTTGGTTATGTTAAGCTTTAGTAGATACTACCAGACAGTTTTCCAAAATGAGCCTACCAATTTTACATTCTACCAATAGTGTTTGAGAATTTCAACTGGTCCACATTCTTGCCATTCCGTTTTAGCTATTCTGTTTGGCATGTAGTAGTACCACTTCAAGGCATAATTTTTATTTTCCTGATGACTAATGAACTATGGTAATTTTTCATAGATTTGTTGATCTTGTGGATAACTTCTTTTAAAAAACATGTTCAAGTCTTGTGGTATGCCTTTAAAAAAACATAAATACTTCTAGATTCAAGTCCTCTGACTGATACATATATATTGGCAATATGTTCTCCCACTCTGTCACTTTTTGGTCTTTTCATTCTATCTTTTCACATACAGAAGTTCTTAGTTGTAATATAATTAATTTACCAGAACTTTTCTTTCACAGTGAGCATTTTTGCATCTCATAAAGTCTTTGCCCCAAGGTCATGAAAATGTTTTCCTGTTATACCCTACACTTCCCACCTCACATCCTCTTCCTCAAAACCCCCCTGGGAATTTATACTGGGACAGCACTCAAACTATAGATGGATAAAATTGACATCATTACAATATCACATCTTCTGACCCATTATCAGAGTGTGTGCCCCCCATTATTTCCCAATGAGAAATATAGTACCTAAACAGAAAGCATGAGCTTTAAAAGTATATCTAATATTTCTTCTATTGCCTCAGTTAATTCTTCATAATTATCTTGTCTTATTAAATAAATTTCTGGAGCTAGTAGAAAATATTTACTTGAAGAGTTTAAATGCTAAGAAGCCTTCACCTTTATTTTTAATAGTAAATGAATGAACAGCTACCAGTAATTTCTAAACACACATATACATCCACTGACTACAGAGATACTTCGTTTTTTCAAAAGGTTTCCAAAAGACAGCCATCCAAGGCAGTGATATAAATAAAATCGTGGACATGGTATAACTGGAATGAAAGTGTCTATTCTTAAACAACAGAACTGATGTTTGTAAAACCTGTCAAATACGTCTCAAAAAGACATGTGAAAGCAATTCTGTAAATGCTGATCAGTGATGCTGGGCTTACAAAATGCAATTCAATCAAAATGTTAGTTGTCTTTATGAAATTAACTATACAGAAATTTTAAGATATCTAATTTATTAAACATAATACTAAATGTGCACCAGCAGCCAACATTAGACTGAATTAAAATTTTACTTTCACGCTCTAAATTAAAAGAGATTTGGTTCTACAGGTGTAAAGAATAAAATTTTCCTAAATCAGTTTTGACACTAAGGCAAAGAAATATATTTCTCTCAAAACCTAGGCCAGGACTGGCTACAGGCATCGCTCATCAATTCGAGAACACAGAGACACCATTCCCAGGTTTGTCACCTGCATCCTCCTCCTCCAGATCGGCATGATCTGTTCCAACTTTTACTTCCACTCCTCCAAGGATGGCCTGGAGACGTTTTTGTTTTGCTGTGATTTTCTTTAGCTGTTGTTCCTTAAATGGTAAATATTGAATAATACAGAAAACAGCAATGCAGTGATTTATTGTTAAATAGAAAACAGTATTACAAAATTTAAAACACTTTAATCAGGAGCAAAATAAAAATAAAACAGAAATTCCACACATTACTATTACTACAGAGAACCTTATTTGAGCAATGCCACTTTCCTAGCAGGAAGTAGACCTCAAAGCATTTCTACCAGGCAGGCATCCCTGTCCCCACCCTCTCTCCTGACACAGCTTTCTATGTGCCGAGTACGGATGTTCACATGTACTGACTCTCCCTGATTTGGGAGATGGAACTGCTTTTCTTGGTTCTCCCATCACAACTAGGTAAATCACCATACTTTGTGTTCTGGACCTTACTAGCCAATAGGCTATTCAGTCAATAGGCTATAGAGATAAGAAACATAAAAATGAATGTTCAAGAGTTGAAAAAGTCAGTCTCCTTTGATAACTTACTATATTTATGATTTTTCCATTATGGTATTCTACCAAATCACAAAAGTTTAAAAGAAAAATATATTCTGACATATCCTTTTATCCCATTCACCCCAAACTCCTCTTTGTCTTGTCACTCTCTATATCACCAAAGCTCAGATAGGGTCATGCCTAGGACCTCCACAATTAACTACGCCTCTAGTACCTGGTTCTTCCCGAGGTCAAGAATGTTTAAATATCAAATACAACTGTGAGGCAAGGGGAAATCCTGAATATAAAGGCCATGTTAGAATGACTTATGATTTGTTTTCTCTTGCAGTTTTTCTCAGCACAATCTAATTTAAAACAGCCTTTCTCTCTGAATACTCTATGTCTAAATATCAAAGAGCTGCTAAAGAAAGATAGGAATATATAATTAAGTTGGACTACTACCTAAAGCTGCCTAAAGTTTGATGCTCTCCTTTCCTTGAAACTCCAACCTACCAGAAGCCCAAGGTCCGAGAAGGTCTCTGCACATTAATTCACATGCTGCCGTAAGAGGCCAGGTGCTCCCTCTCTGATTTGGGAATACCAACAGATGCCTCAAGCTACTCCTAGCTGTGACTTATGGGCTGCTATTCTGGAGGTGAGAGAAGACGGGTGGTAAAGATAATGGAGTGGTGAGGGAAAGCAAAAAGAGGAACTAAGTCTATACACGTCCCCACTGGCATAGTTTAAATGAAAGATGCAGGGACTCTACTCACTGCAATGAATCAACTATAAGCATGTTAGTCATTTTGAATGGCAGAAATAAAATGATCAAAACTAGTCATTCCTATCTCCTGCAATGTATTTTCATAAACTATATGTGAATTCTAAAAAGTGTTTCAAATCTTACAAAAACAATGTCGTAAGTAACACATATTCCCTACACTTAAGTTTTACAACTCTAAATGCAGACATAGTGTGGCTGGGTGATGAATGTAATACCCAAGGCCAGCCTCTCAGAACAGTGAGCCTGAGTGTGTGAGGGATGATGACTGCATCAATAGAAAATAAAGTATAAATAATCAATAAAAGCAGGGAAAAAAAAAAGAAAGTTCATACAAAACAAGGAGACTGACCAGAGGCCAGCATACAAAACAGACGCCTGAGCTAGGTAAAAGAAAATGGTGCAGCAAAGAAGACTATGAAAGTACACGAGTGAGCAGTCATGCAAACAAAAAGCAGAGCTTTCTCTAAAATAGGTATGCATGTATGCATGTATGTGTTTTTAAAAATACTCTTTAACAGGATATTAAGGGGAAAAATTAAACAGCTGAAAAATTAAAAAATAAACCTCAAAATTTTCTATTATAAATAATTGCTTCACATCTTATAAGTACTTCTCAGAATACTTTCTAAATATTAAATGAGTCTAAATGATTACAGAAAAGGGTTATTTCAAATCACCTTATTATACTTTTGCCGTTTTACAGAATCTAGTTTCCTGTTGATGTCTCTGTTGGTGGCAGCTTGAGGGCTAAGTTGTTCAATAATTTTATTGATTTGCCTTAGGGATGTTGTACATGACCTGAAAAATAAGACAAAATGTCTATTTTCCACACTGGTAACGTTTTTAGTAGTATAATATAAAGAGAAAAATATTAAAAACATGTCCCTTTCACTTCTTATTAACCAAGATAAAAGAAAGTAAACCAGAATGAATATTCTTCTTGGCCACAAATAGAACTTGAAGGGTTGTTAGAAGTTTAAGATGACTACTAGTGTTTCATCTGACTTACTTACATCAGTTCACCTCGATTTATAATCAGATTACTTTATTCTATAAGCACTTTAAGTGTCTGTTTTATTCCAGAGACTGTGCTAAAAACAATGTGCAATAAGTTGCCTTTTAATATGAAAAAATTCACATATGGTTTTTTTAAGACTGTTTTTTAGAGCAGTTCTAGTTTCACAGCAACATTGGAGGAAAGTATAGCGATTTCCCACACCTCCTGCCTCAAGCATGCACAGCCTCCCCCCATTATCAACAAGCCCATTACAGAAATCTTCCAAAGTTTGCAAAAGTACTAAAAATGCTTAAACATTTCTTATATAAGTCAGACATCTATGACATTATTTTTCTTTTACATGAGACTAGAAGATTTATTTGCTGTAGTATTACTCTATGTAAGGCAAAAGGGGGAAAATTAATTTATAGTGCATTGTTCCTAAAATAGACCCCATAAAATTATGGCTCCCAATTTTCAAAACACAAATTCAGTCTTGACACTTATGTAATCTGCTGCTGCATTGTTTGTGGATTTCAGCATAAAAGGGTGTTATCAATTTAAGTTACTGTCAGACTAAACACCACATGTCACCATCCATCTAGTGTTAATCTGCCTTGTGACTCTGCAGCTCTCTCACCTCTGTAAGCAGTTGGACACATTTCTAAGGTCAAATGTAAAAGGTGTGTTCATTACAAATAGTCAAGGTCTTCACACCTAAAGGTCAGACTACAGCTATTTGAGAACACACCAGAAAACATGTCCTTTAAGTGCTAATAGCCACCTATACTACAGCCTTCCCCAGGGAGTTGCCAACAGTTCCACGTTCTTCCTTCCTCTCCCCATCCCCATACACCCCCATTTAAGACTGTGTCATCCCTCCACTCAGTCCTCCCCTTCTCTTTCTTGCTTGCCTGACTGTCTAGAACATGGCCAAGGGGAAGGAAGACTGGCAGTGGAAAGTGAACCTAGTCCTTCACACCCTCCATTTAGTCCAGGTCCAGAGCCTGTCCCATCTCTACCAATGCACTATGCTCAACGGAGCCCAAGTCTGTGTTTCTTCTAAAACAAAAATGAAATCTCCATGAGACTCCATCTTCCTTCAAAGTCAAAAGTAGGAGAGGGAAAAAAAAACAGAAAGATGTTTCTCATTTCTAGAAGTGCAAAATCTGAAAAATTACCAAAAGACTGACACCTGGTTAGAGATAAGAAACTGGTAAGAAATTATAGGACAGAGAAAAATGTGAAGGGACAGATGTGTTCCTGATATCTAGAGTAGGACACATCAGAACTATAGGTATACGTCACCTGAGAACCATTTTGTGCATATGCTTGAGAGTTCTCGGTCATTTACTTCTCCTCAAGACATTATGCATAAACGGACTATTATAAACTGGTCTGAGACCCTAACTATCATGTACAACGCTGCTCTAGAGGGAAGGGGCTAAGGTTCAAACACAAGGTCAATGATGGTCCTCACTAACTCTATCCCCCAAATAAGAAGTTCTATAAATCTCCTAATATTTTTGGAATACTACAGCCATTATCTGAATTTATCCATCATATGTAAACGCAGGTCTGCAATTAGAGAGAAAATGGTCCAACTCACGTGAGGTCATCCAGGACTGACTGATACTCCCTCTCTACGTCAACAAGCTGGGCAGCACGGCTGGCCTCATGAATGGCACTGTCCACCTGCTGAAGCACACCTTGCTCCAGCACGTCCTGGTCATAGACGTCCACCCCCAACCCCTGCAGTTCAATGGCCTGTGCACTTGGCTCCACTGCCTGGATCTGATGTCTGTCAATATGCAGCAAGGCAGGCCTTCTCTTCGGAACTTCAGATGGACACCTCTCAGCAGAAGTGGATGGCTCAGTTCGAGAGGAACAGGAAGGGAGGCTGTCTTCCATCTCTGCATCACCTTCATTTTCTTGCTTGATTGGCACTTCTTCATTATCACAGACATAATGACCCTGTAAACAGTCTTGCTCCTGAGTTTGACTTGAGTGGGGGATTCTCTCATTTGACATCCTCCTCAGACTACCTAAAAGAAAAATATTTTTTCAATAAGCCTTTTGGTAGCATAGAATTGATAGTTATATAATTTCTTAAATATTTTATGAAGCAGACTGATCTCTCAAAAGATCAAGTAACAATCCCTTAATCATACAAATTCAAGTTTCAAAGTATAACTCTTCTTAAAAGCTATATATTTTCTTGAGTTCTGATAATAAATAAGAAAAACTGACCAGAAGAAAAAAAATGCAGCATTATCAACAGAGCACGTTTGGGTAGTCAGCTAAAAAAGCTGGTAACCAAAATCCTGAGTGACACCTAGAGTGTTCTCCAAATCAATTGAAGTCACCTGACTAATGTTCTCCAGGTTAGCATCTTCATTGCATCATGGCACAAATAATTTACATTACAGAGTATGATCAACTATAATATATAGATTTAGTGACAAAAGAGCTTTTTATGTGAATCTGACACTAGAAACTTTCAGCTTGAACATGTACGCCAATAACCAGAAAACTATGAACAACAGATAATCATAGCTCCACTCAAATCAGAATCTCAGAAAAATTTAAATATCCTCAAAAAATAACTCCATTTCAATGTATGATTTAATTTCTCACCCGTCAAGTTGGCAAAAACATAAAATCAGATATTATCCACTATAGACAAAGATACACCCTCACACAATGCTAGTGAGAATATAAATTAGTAAAGCTCCTTTGGAAGGCAATTTAGCAATACCTATTAAGGTTTAAAATGTACACAACTAGGTGTTTATTCCAGAGAAATACATATGCACAAGCATGTTTACTGTGGCATGTTTAATATAGGTATTAAGCATATTCAGTGGTACTGATATAATTGTAAACTGAAACAAGCCATAGTCTGAACACACTTATGTTGAAAAAAATGTTTGTTTGCATCTGTATGTATGTATGTAATGCATTCAAAATGATCTGGAGATACACACTAAACCTACAATAGTTGGGAGTGGGAAAAAGACAATGCAGGGAAGAATAAAGCGAAACTTTCTTCACATTTCAAGTAGTCAGGAATTCCTTGAATGAAAATGTATTCACTACATTGCCTGTATAATTATAATAGATTATTAAGCAATACAATGACCAAGAGATAGCCCTGCTTTTAATTTAACCATGAATAAACTAAAGTTTTCTTTAGCACTGGAACTTTGTTTCTATGAAATGACCACAAGTTCCCCCACTAAGCCCCACTTATTTCTCATTAAACAAAAAGATCACAGAGGCCATGCACTGGGAGAGATGCCAGAACTTAGCATCACCCTGCCCTGAAAGGCTCACTCTCTAGTGACTGAGAAGAGTGTCAAAAACAACACAGTGGGACAAATCTGTAGAAGAGACACGGACAAGACACCATGTGAAAACAGAAGAAAAGTAAGCATCGGAAGGAGCTCAAAAACATGTACAGGCTCAGATTTGGACACCCAGCCCAGGGTCTGATACACAGGATGTGCTCAATATATGCTAAAAGAAAGATTCAGAAAGGAGTTTGAAATAGTAAGTCTGGCCTGGACAACTGAGTCACTGGTAAATGCAATCACAAAAATGAAATCTCTGAAAGAAAGCAGACAGACCAGGGAGATGGGCTGGTAGGGAGCTTACAAACTGCCAGCAACATGTCCAGGATGCAGTGAGAAGTGCAAATCTGGGCTCAGGAGAAAGAAATGTGAATGCATCACTAGAGTGAATAGCCAGAAAACCCAAGGATATGACAAGTACCAGAGATACTTTTAGAGGCTAAGAGGAAGCTAACATTGAAGTGGTTAAAAGTAGTGGTTAAAAATTAATTATAAAAAATAAAATAAAATAATAAAAAGCCAGAATAAGAAACTTCCTCCTTTTTTTGTCCTTCTGAATATTTTCAGGAGAAAGAATTAGCTTAGTGTGCCATTATTAACTGGTTTCCCCTTTCAACAGAGAAGGCAGGATTCTGCTTCAGTTCTTAATACTAGCTGGAACTTAACAGTCGTCTTCATTTTTCTTATTTGTATGTATGCTAGGATTTCTTTTTTCAGCTAAAAAGACATTAATTCAACCAAATATACTAAGTAATAATATTGTAGAATAAAGAGAAGGTTAAAATAATGATGTTTGCAGAAAACTTCTAATAGAAACGGAAGAGGGAATAGTTAAAAGTGGAAAATGTCCCTGGCTGGTGTGACTCAGTGGATTGAGTACCACCTGAGAACCAAAGGGTCACTGGTTCGATTCCCAGTCTGGGGCACATGCCTGGGGTATGGGCCAGGTCTCCAGCAGGGGGTGTGCAAGAGGCAACCACACATTAATGTTTCTCTCCCTCTCTTTCCCCCCAAGCCTGCCCCTCTCTAAAGATGAATTAATAAAATCTTTAAAAAAAGAAAAGAATATGGCAAGTTCACATAAGGAAACTAAGAGTCCAGAGAATTTGGAATTAGCAGGTCACTAGCAGGTCACTAGTTACCTTAGTAAAAAAAAGTTTCAGTGGAGCAACGGGTACATTCACCAACTATAGTGAATGAAGAAATGAATAGGTAAGGAAACAAGAGGCCACAAGTCGGTAGCCTACCCTCTAAAGGTCTTGCCTATGGAAGAGACACATCTGGAATGATAAAATAATGGGTTGGGAGAGGAAAATTAGATCAAGAAAAGCTGTAAAATGTTATAATTGGAGAGGGAATTGGGAGATAACCTACACAGAACATTATACAAAAGTCACAAACAGGAAAAGATAAAAGTATAAAAGTACACAAAAGGCCCAACACAGCTTTCTCCAATTCTGGCAGAGGATGACTTCTGATATACTTAAATTGTAGTACAGAGGAAGAGAAGCTGAGGTGAACCTTAAAGAAAATATCAGGCAGAAGTGTGGGCATCTCATGAGTCAGGGAACAGTCTTGGGATGGGGGATGAAGAATAAGAACCTGAAATATATGTCCTGTAGAAGAGAAAAGCACAATGGTGACAGGTGTGGAGGGCCTATCTAAATTTGGACACCCAAAATCATAGTTCGTTAACCACTGCTAACAATCTTCAAGGCTGTAAAATTTCCTTCTTCAGTAATTAACAATTCCAAGAGAATTACCACTGTTTGGGGTTTTCAGAGCAGAAGTAGCAAAAGGACAGATAGGTGTGTGATAAAGATGCTAAGGAAGAGAACAGTTCAAGTTACTGACTCTGGGGTCCAAGCTGGGTAGAATAAAAAAATAAAAAGCCAGGGGAGCAAGGGGCGGGGGAGGCTGGGATGGGAAAAATAGACAAAAAACTGTACTTGAAAAATAACTAAATAAAATTAATTATAAAAAATAAAATAAAATAATAAAAAGCCAGAAGGGACTAGAGGAGGAAGACAGGACAAACAGACAGGAAGACAGGAAGGGAGGAAGAATCTAAAGGAAGATATCAAGAAGCTACTTGGCTGGAGTCTGTGGACCAAAGAACACAATTCCTGGAGTGAGAGTTGAAAACCAGAAGATTCTCATTAGAAGGTGACGAGATTCAGAAGTGAAATAAATCATCCACTCAACAAATATTTGAGAGTCAGTTACACCAGGCAATGTGCTAGTTTCAGTCCCCATAGGGCTTAGTCTCTAGGAAAAGACACATATTTAAGAATTATATATAAAAACATACAAAGGTGACAGAAGTAGGTTTACAGTTGTTTGTATGGAAAAATATATAATACCCGAATAAACTGTTTCATGCACTCATAACTAGAAGCCTACTTTTGCCCCATCCTATACACATACACACACACAAATGTCATTGTGGTAACTGCTATAAAAGGAAAGCACAGGACTCCTTATGACAAAATAACAGAGTAACCTAATTAACACTGTGAAGAGGGTGTGAGGTCAGTGAGGCCTCTCTGATGAAGTGATATTTAAGCCAGTATCTGAAAATGAATAAGAGTTAATTAGGCCACAAGTAGAGTGAACGTTTTTTGCAAAGAAACAGTAAGTGTAATTTCTAACGCTGGTGCATTTGGGAAAATGGAAGAAGTGAGCACAGTGAGAATTTATTTTACATAAATACTGAATTAAAGAACTTGATAAGGACTTCATTCATCTGCAAATCTTCCAATGTTTTGCAAGGCTTAAATCACCTGGAAAAAACAGTATCTTCACTGTTGTCCCCTTTGTGCACTGGAGTTTCTGTGGAACGACTTGGATTCTGGTTCGTAGGTTTGACTGTACACACACAAGCTGAGGGGCTGGGCGTAAGTGAAAACGAGGCTCAAGTGAGGACAAGGTCCAGGCAGCCTGGGTTAAAAGTGACATTGAATTTTATTACAAGTGCAATGGTATGTGACTTTGAAGAGTTTTAAAGATGGCGATGATAGCACAACCCAAACGATGTGTGTGGGCTGCTGAATCGATAATGGATTGGGGGAAACAGTGCAACAAGATGATGATGGGAGACACCGGTGAAATGGGACTGCACCGTGCTAGAGCGCGACAGCTTCCATGAAGATGGAAGCTACATAAGACAAACTATTCGATCCTCCTTCACAAACACTGACTACCATCAATGCCCAAAACCTGACTTGTAGTTAGTCCTATTCTGTTTTTCAAGAATTTCTAGAGTTACCACTCTCGTATTAAATCGAGATCGAACTGGGCCAAGCTGACCCTCTGCGCGCGGGGTCCTGACACAAAACCAAGAAGTTGATGCCCCCTCGCTGGCTTACCCACTCCAAGCGGAACCAGAGTTTGCGGCCCCCGCTGACAGCGGAGCGCTCGCCTCAACGTCACTTCCGACTGCTGGCGAGCAGGCACGGAAGGTGCACGCTGGACCGGAGGGACAGCTCCGTACCACCGGCGAAGCCGGGTTCCGTGAGAGACCGGAGGCCTAGGATTGCCTGGGTAACTGTGCGAGGCCCAGACACTACCCACCCTACGTTAAACCAGATTGCGCCCACACTCACCCCAGGGTCCAGAGGTAGACTGTAGGGAAACAGGTCACTGCAGCTACCGCGGCCTTCGACTGGGAGCCGCCACAGCGCAGGCGTCTTGGGCCCGCCCCCAAAAGTGAGCCTGAGGGCTTGCGAGGGTGGGGCCAGTGGCTCGGGCATCCAGCAGGGAAGTGGCTTTAGAAAACCGGCTAGACCACGTGGCAGGACGGCAGGGTGCAGCTCCGCCTTTCCAGCTTTGACCCGGATGTGAATGCAGAGTCGGATTCCAATTGGTTGTGTACTTTTTCGGCGCTTCACTCCAGGGGAAATACCTCTGTGTAAGGCTTCAGCGCCGCTGGTTTCTGTAACCAGTCGCAGGCGTTGTGATCTCCCGTGGTCACCTGGTAATCCTGTGAGCGCGTGAAAAATAGGGGGAGGGCTTGCTTATCTGTGTACCGTCTGGCCGGCACACCCTCACCCTGGGCCGGAGCGGGGTGTACTCAGTGGGCCTAAGTGAATGTTTTGATTGCATTTATGAATCAATCACTTAATATCTGTTCTTATGTTAAAAAGGTAGGGAAGATTTTGAGCCAGTTGAGAATTTTAGCTTGGAGCATTTGAAGAAATAAAATGTCCACGCATAGGTTCAGAAGAAACAGAGGAAATTGAGATTCACCTGAGGAAAGGGTAGCCTGATTGTGAGAGCCCTACCCAGTGGCAGGGGTTGGTCCAGAGATTCCAGCGCTAGGAGGGGGTGGATTTTCTAGCATCCAGAACCAGAAAGGCCTTTGGGAATGACGGGACTGTGGAAAAGATCTCTGGGGCCTGAGTAGGAAAGCGCCTTACTCATTTTGAAGATGAAAGTCTAACAATAGGAAAGGGGATTGGAAAGTTAACTTGAAAATGCCCAGTAATATCACCATATTGAAAGCAGAAAAGCTGGGATAGGTGGTGCCAATCACCTACCAGACCCAATAAGCAGAAACATGAATTGAATCTTTATGGGCGCTTTATTCAAATGGCCAGCAATCTGAGAAGATGTTGGGTTTGTATGCTAACAGACCATCTTAAATTCCATTTTAAAATGGCTCTTTTTATAAGGACAACAAAATGTAGATAAAGGGTTTGAAACTCAAGGAAAAGTTAATAGATTTTTTTTAAAAAAACTGCAGAATCCTTGCCCTGCATGGTGGTCTTTAGTGGTGGTCATCTTACCGTGGAGTACAGTGGCTCAGATACCATCTTGAATTGCTTACAGTCCTTAGGTACAAAGGTGGAACTGCTTATGGTCTTCTGGAGTCATGGTGGGTCATACCTTCAGTTCCTGGAACAATAGCTTTTACACGCATTGATTTTTAAGCTTATTAGCTATTACTTAAACTAAAAATTTTCAATGTTCGATTCCCCCATCATTCCCTCATTATTAGTTTAAACTATCTTGTATCTGTGATCTTAGTTTCATATGGAAGTACTCATTTTGCTGTTGAGCACATATCTTAGCATTAGACCATCTGGTAGGGGGTGCAGAGCTACCTAAGGGGACACATAGTATGCAACAGCAAGTTATGATATTGAAAAAAGTAAAAACAAATTCTTCTCTAAGACCAGTAATACTAGCCAGCCAGGATGTTATTTAGACAAATCAATACCAAAGGATCCCTCTCTTTGTTTTATGTTGGATACTGTTTCATTTACTTGCTTTAATTTTTGCTCTAGGAACTGAATTATCAGGTTGAAACTTGAATTATCAGATTGATATCCCAAGGTCCAGTCCACTTTTTTCATAGTTGGCTTTCTGGAGATCCCCTCTTTCAGGTCTTGAGTAGCATCTTATCTTCAAAGGAGTGTAGCAAATGTGTGGGGGAGAAGTCCCTAATACAAGCAAGGTCATTAATTACAGCTAAGGTCTGACTTAACCGTTGTACATATTTCTTAACCTTTACTTCTTCATCTATATACATAACTCCCACGCCAATCATAGCCTGAAATGGTCACCCATACACAATTTCATAAGGACTCAGTTGAATCCCACTTCAAGGAGCCACCCTTAAGCTTGGTCCCAGTAAAGATGAGCTTCTTAACACAACTTGGTGACATTTTTTTCAAGGTGTGATTCATCTTCTTTACCTTCCCAGAGGCCTGAGATCTCCATGCTGTGTGGAGTCTCCACTTTATTCCTAAAAGTTTACTAACCTATGTGGTTCCTGAAACAAAAACAGGCCCATTATCTCTTTGTATGCTGCCAGGGAGGCAAAAGTGAGGGATTATTTCCTTCAGTAAGGCTTTCACTACCTCCAAGGATTTCTCCATTTTAGTGGGATAGGCTTCTACCCATCCTGAAAAGGTGTCAACAAAAACTAGCAAATATTTCCACCTTCAGACCTTTGGCATCTGGGTAAACTCTATTTGCCAGTCATCAAGTAGGCACTGCCCTTGGTGTTATTTCCCTTTCTTTTGATGGGGATCTGTCTTGGGGGTTGTTCTGGCACATAACACATCTAGAAATAACATTTTGTACAGCTTTAGAAATTGCAGGACTTGGGAGCCACAGTTTAATATATGTGGTTAATGAGTCCCCTTCATAGTGAGTGGCCTGATGCAAATGCTTCTGACTGGTTCTACTAAATGTTCAGGAAGCAGTATAAGTCCTTTCTTACTCTTTCTCCATCCGCTATCAGCTCCTTCTTCATCAAAACCTCAGCTCTCAGCTTTCTCTAAGTCTGCAGTCAGATAGTCAGGGTCGAATTGTGGCAAGTCTAGGGCAGGTACCAAAAGCATTATAAATGTTCCTTTAGCAGCCTCTTTTGCTGCCTGATCAGCCAGATTGTTTCCTCTAGCCATTTAGTGTTCTCCTTCTGATGCCTTAGTCAGTGCATAATTGCAACCTGTAACCATACCCAAATAGCCTCTAATAATTTTAAAATTACTACTGCATGCTCGATCTCCTTTTCATTGGAGGTTAATAGTTCTTTTCTCCTTCCAGATTGGACCCTGTGCATGCTTACCTTGAGTCAGTATACACATTCAACTCTTTTCGTGCGACAATTCCAATGCCCTTATCAATGCAGTCAGTTCAGCTTTCTGAGCAGAGGTTCCCAGCAGCAAGGCCTGACCTGTACTATTCCTTCAAGAGTCACAACTGCATACCCAGCCTTTCTGTTTCCTTTAGCCACATAACTGCTTCCATCTGCATATAGAGTCCAGTCTGGTGCTTCTAGAGGATGGTCCTGTAAATCAATGCTGCTAGAATAAACATCATCAGTTATCTCACCACAAACATGTATTAGCACAGCCGAGTCACACTCTGCGATAAGAGAGGGAGGACTTACCTTACCGTTTTGAGGGAGACAGGATTGTCAAGAATGGCTTGGTACCTACCAGCACTGACAAATTTCCCTTTTTCTCCAGCAGGTTCAACACTTGATGTGGTACATAAACAGTGATAGGCGGTCCCAAGCAAAATTTTCAGCTTCCTATAAGAGCTCACAGGTGGCTGTCATAGCTCTCAAGCAGGCTGGCCACCCCTAGACAGTATGATCTAGTTTTCTTGACAAGTATGCAATGGGTTGCACCACAAAGTGTTGTCACCTAGCTGACACTCTAACCTAGTCTTCAAAAGGCCATTCCACCATTCCTTCAAGCCAGTTGCTTTAGGATGGTGGGGAACATGAAAAGACAGGTGAATTCCACAAGCATGGGCCTATTGCCTCACTTATTTTGCTGTAAAGTGAGTAAGTATACATCGCTTTCTTGATCAGAAGTACTGCTGTGTGAAATAACATGATGGTGAAGAAGGCATTCTGCAAAATCATGGGTGAGAGTTTTGGCAAAAACATTGCATGCAGAGACTGCAAATCGATATTCAGATTAAGTGTTTATTCCAGAAAAGACAAAATGCTGCTCCTTCCATAACAGAAGTAGTAATCCTGTATAATCAACCCGCCACTATCTGACTGATCACCTCAGGAAATGGTACCATATCAATGACTCATTGTTCGTCTTTGCTGTTAGCAGTTGGGGGATTCAGTGGTGGCCATAGCTGGGTCAGCCTCGATGAGTAGAAGTTCATGTTGCTGATCCCATACATAAACTCCATCCCTGCCACCATGGCCAATTTGTTCATGGGCCCATTGGACATTGACAGGAGAGCCTGAGGAAAGGCTGAGTAGTGTCTACTGAATGGACTTGTTTATTAAAATCCTCCTCTGCTGAGATCACCCTTTGGTGAACATTTACATGAGAGAAATACATTGACATTTTTTGTCCATTCAGAGAGGTCTATCTACATACCTCTTCCCCAAATTTCTTTGTCACTTGTTATTCAGACATATTCCTTCCAAGTCCCAATGCAAGCTACAGCTCATGAATCACCATATAATCAATCACATGTCTGACCATTTCTCCTTCCAAGCAAAGTAGACAACCAGGTACATTCCTCAAAATTCTGAGAAAAAAAGATTCTGCCCACTACAATGTTTTCTCTTCGCAGTTATTCTTCAGGAATGTCCCAGAAAGGATCAGTATTGCTGCTGTCCACTTTTGGGTGGTGCCTGCGTACCATGTGAAGCATCTGTAAACGAGACCTCAGTCTTCTGCTGCCAGCTGATCATAAGGCACTCATGAGGCCATAGATGCAGGTTGGGAGAGAAAGCTGAGTAGCAGGAGTGAGGACTGTAGGCATGTGGGCCACTTTTTCGTGTAACTTGTAACTTTAGTGGCTGCTCAGCCCCAATCATGTCAATACCACTTCCATATGATGTTGGAATGTTGCTGGCTTGGTGCGTCAGATAATACCTGGTTCGTAATGGGCAGCTCTGGTCAAATTATAACTTGGTGGTCCATGGATAAGTGTTCCATCTCTGCAGACCCAGTAACAGGCCAAGAGCTGCTTCTCAAAAGGACAGTAGTTATCTGTGGGAGATGGCAGGCCTTGCTCTAAAATTTTAAGGGCCTGCACTGAGATTCAGGTGGAAATGCCTGCTGAAGTCTAAACCACATCCCTATCTTCCACTGGCATTGAAGTCATTTTAAACACAACTATTTTTAAAACATAGGTATGGCACTTATTTTTTCACTTGCGTAGTAGCTTCTCCCATGCTCCATAAATAATATTTTAAAAATACAGCATGAGTCTGTAGCAGTGTGAGCATGTATCACACTGTGTTACAAGTCCTAAATATGTGTT